ATCAGGGTTTAAAGGACCAGGAAAACATACAGCTCCCGTGGCGCTGAGGGGGGATGAAGGGGTTAATACCCTTACCCTTTTTCCAGCACTGGGCTCCCTCGGCGCTGGGACTTTCCTCCCTCTTCTTCTGTCACTGGCTCAGCATTATTAATGCTTTCCTATGGACGCTGGCGTCTTCTCAGTGTGAAAATCACAGTTAGAAGCGCGGAAGCGCCTTTAGCAGCTGTCAATGAGACAGCCACTAGAGGCTGGATTAACCCTAACGTAAACATAGCAGTTTCTCTGAAACTGCTATGTTTACTGCAAAAAGGGTTAAACCTAGCTGGACCTGGTACCTAGCTGGACCTTTAAGGAACTGTATAGGGATATAACAATTTCATTGGAATGAAGTTGTTATGGTGTCCAGAGGTCTCTGGCGCTTTCTTAGTGGGTTAAACAGTTCTCAAAACAGTAAAGGGATGTAGATAAAAGCTTTTGGGCAAAGGCAGCAATGGGTGAACAGATTTCCCGGTTTTACTGGGATCGTCCTGATTTTACCAGGATCGTACCGATTTTGCATTAAATGTCTCAGCGTCCCAAGAAAGTTTCTCGGGACGCATAAATGTCCCACTTTTTTTGTATTAATACTTAATAAGAGAGCTGCTACAAAAATGGATCTTCTCCTCCTGCCGCTGTGTTGCTGGCAATGGGCCGATCCGCCTCTTGATACTACTCAGATTGTGCTGATTGCCAGCCAATTAGAAACCACGCTGTGTGGTGATGTCACACTGCAAGTCACCCACTCCCTGCAGTCCCCACCTGCGGTACATAGAAGGAGAGAAATGATCAGAAAGCAAAAGCAACGTGGAGAATGGAGAGAAAGGGAAAGGAGCAAAAATGAGAAAAAGATAAAGGAGCAGAAGAGAGCAGTAAGTAAGAAAGGAGGGAAAATATTTGATAGAGTCCTAACTTCAACATCTGAGGAAAGGGATTTCTGAGTGATTATTTCAGATGATTTAAAGGATCACTATAGTGTCAGGAAAACAAACCCGTTTTCCTGACACTATATAATCATTAGGGTCCCCCCCACCCCTAGAGCCCCCCTCCCGCTGGGCTGAAGGGGTTAAAACCCCTTCAGCCACTTACCTTTATCCAGCGCTGGGCTCCCTCGGCACTGGTGACCTCTCCTCCCCCTCCGACGTCTGTTCCCAAGTGGAGCCAAATGCGCATGCGCGGCCAGAGCTGCACGCACATTAAAAAAGCCCATAGGAAAGCATTTCTCAATGCTTTCCTATGGACATTCTGCGGGCTCAATGCGATTTTTGCATTGAGCGTCGGGGAAGCGCCTCTAGCGGCTATCAGGAAGACAGCCACTAGAGACTGGATTAACCCTTCAATGTAAACATAGCAGTTTCTCTGAAACTGCTATGTTTACATCTCATGGGTTAAAACCTGGGGGACCTGGCACCCAGACCACTTAATTGAGTTGAAGTGGACTGGGTGACTATAGTGGTCCTTTAAAGGTAGCAGAAAATGCTAGCAGAATGCTTGGTTGTATAGAGAGAGGCAGGGCCGCCATCAGAAATTTTGGGGCCCCTGACAAAGCACCAGGTTTGGGCCCCCCCTCCCTCCCTCCCGGGCCCGCACACGCCCTACCTGGTCCGCTGACAATGATGCAGGACTGAATGTGGTGTGTATAGTGGAAGTGAATTAGAATATGTGTAATGGATGTAGTGTTTGTGTGTATTAGATACTGTTTGTACAGTGAATGCAGAGAGTGTGTTTGTGTAGCGGATGCAGTGTGTATAGTGAACGCAGAGTGTGTTTGAGTAGTGGATATACTGTGTGTACAGTGATGTAGTGTGTGTTTGTGTAGTGGATGTAGTGTTTGTATGTACTAGATGAAATGTGTTTAGTGGGTGCAGTGTCTGTAGTGGATGTAGTGCATGTATTAGACGCAGTGTCTGTGTATAGTGAATGCAGAGTGTTTCAATGTGTGGTGGATGTAGTGTGTGTACTGTGAATACAGGATGTTTGTGTAGTGGATGCTGTGTGTACAGTTAATGCAGAGTGTATGTTAGTGTAGTGAATGCAGAGTGTGTGTCAGTATAGTGAATCCAGAGTGTATGCATAGTTTAGTGAATGCAGAGTGTGTGTTAGTGTGTAGTGAATGCAGAGTGTGTCAGTGTAATGAATGTAGTGTGTGTGTTAGTGCAGTGAATGCAGAGTGTGTGTAAATTTGTAGTGAATGCAGAGTGTGTGTTAATGTGTAGTGAATGCAGAGTGTGTGTTAGTGTAGTGAATGCAGAATGTGTTAATGTGTAGTGAATGTAGAGAGTGTGTTAGTGTGTAGCAGATGCAGAGTATGTGTTAGTGTAGTAAATGCAGAGAGTGTGTTAGTGTGTAGCGGATGCAGAGTGTGTGTTGTTTTAGTGTATGCAGTGTGTGTTGTGTTAGTGTATGCAGTGTGTGTTGTGTTAGTGTATGCAGTGTGTGTGTTGTTTTAGTGTATGCAGTGTGTGTGTGTTAGTGTATGCAGTGTGTGTTGTATTAGTGTATGTAGTGTGTGTTGTGTTAGTGTATGTAGTGTGTGTTGTGTTAGTGTATGTAGTGTGTGCTGTGTTAGTGTATGCAGTGTGTGTGTTGTGTTAGTGTATGCAGTGTGTGTGTTGTTTTAGTGTATGCAGTGTGTGTTGTTTTAGTGTATGCAGTGTGTGTGTGTTAGTGTATGCAGTGTGTGTGTGTGTTAGTGTATGCAGTGTGTGTTGTGTTAGTGTATGTAGTGTGTGTTGTATTAGTGTATGCAGTGTGTGTTGTGTGTTAGTGTATGTAGTGTGTGTTGTATTAGTGAAAAAAGAAAGAGTGGTAGGCGCTCACTATAGCGATCAGGCAGCAGTATACAGAACAGGAATTCCCCAATCCTGTGAGTGAATAATAAAGAAAAAAGAGAAGGCGTATACCGCGCCTAGTAGTATTTTACACAGAAAAATACATACATATATTCTTGTGTACTTCAATCAATTGTAACCTCAGAGAGAATAAAATAAAAAATAATAGTGCAATACAGTAGATAAAGTTATTTAATCTACACAATAATTGCTATGTGCAGTTCACTCACATTTGAATGAGCTATAACAGAGCTCTACTGTAAAGCGCCTGGACGGTACAATCCCCGTCTTAGGATTCGTAGTAGTTGCCACGGATGTTTCTCAAGGTGCAGTGTGCAAAATATGAAAAGAAATAGCAGCAATATAGTGAAGTAAGTACTAATAGTGTATTCAATAATAAAAGGTATTGTACTTACACTTTCTAGAGCATATGACTTGCTCTAGTATAGAACAGCTTAGGTGGTATAATCCCCACCAAGGATATATAGGATCCAGGAAATAAAATAGTATATAAAAAGTAACTTAAAAAGTATACTTTAATATAAAATAAAACAATATAGTATAAAGGAATATAATAAAATGTCCCACTTAACGCGTTTCACCTAAACAGGCTTCTTCAGAAGTGTGGAAAAGAGTCCAAAAAGTCCGTTTTTATATCTTGATTAATGGGGTGATGGTTTCCTGGTGTGTTACTTCCTGGTTCCGGGCTCCGGTTGACACGCACGCGTCATACCGGAAGTGACGCGACACGCGCGTCATCCCGGAAATGACGTATCGCTCTCATCGATCGGAGAAATATTTGCAGCATCAAATTGAAAAAATAACAATGTTATATTCTGGCGCATTGGAACGCACATATCACCAATAAGTGGTGTGTGTGACGTTCCGAGCGCTACCCATTATGAAGCCTCATGATGTGAGGTGTGGGCATGTGGTGTTATATAGATAGCTTGGCGGCCATCTTTAATGTGGGCAGCCATAGAATAAGATAGAGATTGGAATATTACCCACATATAAGTGCAAAAAGGGCTATACTTTTATAAGTTATATATCAGTTTTGCATAAATAACATAATAAGGAATTAGAACAAGTAGTGAGTAATGTTAACAAAAAAGACAGTACTATAATAACACATAAAAGGTATATAGTACAAAAGTAAATGATAAATACCAATATAAAAAATATTGGGAAAAAAAGTATCAACATAAAAGCATATTAATAATATACAGTAAGTTAAGACTTATACATAAAATAAGTACAATCTTTGGGCATAGATGTAGTTGTATAAAAAGGCATGGAAGACATAAAAAATGTAAAAAGACATTTAAAAAAGACGTAAAAAAACATAGAGGAACATGCTATACAAATAACTAGAGATCTGCTATAAAAAAGATGTTGCAAACGAAAAAAAAAATAAAATAAAAAAAAAATAAAAAAAAATAAAAAAAAAAAATAAAAGAAATAATTTGTTATAAAAAATTGTATAGATCGAATTCAGCATTTAACCCCTTAGGGTATAGGGTATCTAACTGGTATACCCATTGCATTTCAGTTTGGCCGATCTTTTTTATAGCATCTCCTCCTCTCCAGTGATTCTTGACTATTTTTATCCCAATAAATGTGAGCTGTTTGGGGTCATTGTTATGCATGCAAAAGTGCGATGGTATTGAGTGATTGTGCAGACCTTTTTCAATATTCCTGCAATGTTCTGCAATTCTGATTTTTAATGGCCTGATCGTTCTACCTACGTATTGGAGGCCACATGGACACTCCAATAGATAGATTACATTTTTACTGTTGCATGAAATGACCTCTTTTATATTATAGACCTTATTAGTAATATTTGATTTAAAATCAGTAATAGTTCTTTCGGTGGTTTTTGTTTTCTTACATGCCACACAGCTATTGCATTTAAAAAAACCTTTTTTATCCATAAAGTTATTAATTCTATTAGGGCTATTTTTTGTAAAAATTTTTGTTAGATGCATTTTGAGATTAGGTGCTCCTCTAAATATAACTTTGGGTTTATCAGGAATTAGTTTGCCTAAAATTTCATCTTCCTTCAATAAGTGCCAATGTTTAGTTAAAAAATTTTTCAGTTGTCTATTTTTATTATTATAATCAAGTATGATAGGTAAAGTAAAGTCAGGATTGTTCTGAGTTACTGGAGTTTTAGTCTTATGTAAGAGGTGGTTTCTGTTTTTTAAAACTGTTTGATTAATAGTTAGGTCAATATGTTTAGCATTGTAACCTTTTTGTATAAAACTTTTTTTTTAAATGTCTGCTTGTTTTAAAAACACAGATTTATCTGAGCAGTTTCTTTTTAGACGCATCATTTGGCTTTTAGGTATACTATCAAGCCAAACTTTATTGTGACAGCTGTCAGTACTTATATAATTATTTACATTCACGTCTTTAAAGTGTGTTTTTGTTTGTATTTTATTGTTCTCAATGTATATATTTAAATCCAAATAGGTCACCATAGTACTACTAAAATCTGCCGTTAAAACTATGCCTTCTTCATTACAATTTAAAAAAGAGAAAAAATCCTTGGCTGAACTAACAGACCCCTTCCAAATGAACAGCAGGTCATCAATATATCGGGAATAGGATACCAGGCTTTCCACCCAGTCATGCCCCCTCCAGATGGACCGATCTTCCCATTCTGCCATATAGAGGTTGGCATAACTGGGTGCAAACCTAGTACCCATAGCTGTCCCAGTTTTCTGTAGGTAAAAACTATCTTTAAACCAGAAATAGTTATGCCTCAGGATTAAGTCTATACCTTCAATAACAAAGTCTGTTTGTTCTTGAAGCATAGAATCATCTCGTTCCAAGATGGATCTAATTGCTTTACATCCTTTATCATGCTGAATAATCGTATATAATGATTGTACGTCACATGTAATAAGTATATAATCATTATTCCAAATAATATTTTCCAATTTTTTTAGAAGATCTATCGTATCTTTCAAATATGATTTTGTTTGTCTGACATACGGCTGTAACATTATATCGATATATTCAGATAGATTTGAGAGGAGGGATCCTATCCCTGAAACAATAGGGCGTCCCGGTGGGTCATTTAGATTCTTATGGATTTTTGGAAGGAAGTATATCACTGGCACCTTTGGGTGTTGTATTTTTATATAGTTGTACTCCTTTTCACTTAAAATACCAATATCTTTGCCCTTTTTCAAAAAATTATAAAATTCGGATTTTATATCTACTATTGGATCTTTATTCAGTTTCATATAAGTATTGTGATCATTAAGCTGTCTATAAGCTTCTGCTTCATATTTCTCTTTAGATTGAATAACGAGGCCTCCGCCTTTATCGGCTGGTTTTATTACTATTGAGGTGTCGTTATATAAATTTTTCAATATATTCATTTCTTTTTTATTCATGTTTGGTCTATCCCTTATCTTTTTAGTATCTAAACTTTTTAAATCCTTGCATACTTTCTTTTCGAATATATCCAATGCACTAGATTTAAGATATGCAGGATAAAAGGTGGATTTGTTCTTCAATTCACTGCTTTTATATTCTTTAATATTTGTGTTTCCAGTATTGACATTTTGGTTAGAGTTATTTCTATTAGCAAAAAAGCGTTTTAAGGTGGCGTTTCTAACGAATTTATTTACATCTATATAAGCTAAAAAGGAATTGTATAGTTTTGTTGGAGCAAATTTTAAGCCTCGTTTTAAAATACTTGTCTCTGTGGTGTTTAGAATTTTGTTAGATAGATTGAAAATGCCAGTAGACGTTTCATCTGCTTTATGTTCTAAAAGCTTTCTAGCCTTCCTTTTTTGTTGTCTTCTACCAGATCTCCTCCCTCTAGTCCTCTCTTGCGACTTTTTATAGGTGTAATATTGAGGTGATGAGTTTGTCTTTCTCTGTTGGAGGGGATCTCTAAAAAAGATGTTTCATCAAATTGATCACAGAAGGATAGAACATGATATTTGTTATTTTTAGTTAAATCTTGTGGTGATGAAGGTTTATTATCGTCTCGTCTTTTATAGATTTTCTTTGGATTTTCCCAGGAGTACTTTCTGTTTCTCTGTTTGGGAGAGTCTGGTACAAATGTATATTTGTGAGTTTTAGGTCTCACAACAAGAGGTGATTCTTGTGCATTATGATGTGTAGACTTTATGTGTTTAGTGTGTTCTTCAAGTTTTTCTGAATAGTGTGTATTTAAAGGTTTATGTTGGGGATAAGTGTCTCGATAGTGTCTAGTGTTAAATCTATCATTTCTTGTGTTGTATCTATCATTTCTTATATTGAACCTAGGGGTTTTGTCTGGTGATCTCTGTCGATTATTGTAAAAGTATTTTTTTTGGTGGAATTCTTTACTTTGTAACCTTTTAGGTCTAACTTGGTGATTTCCTTGTGTATTCACATTGTAATGTGTTATTCCATTTCTCCAACGGTTTTGAGTGTTGGGTTTTTTAATATTATACGTGCGAACTTGATTTTGTGCATAATCATATTTATCTCGATTATATTTTTGAATCTTTATCTTTTTTGTGTCAGTTTCAATTTTTTCTACAGTTTTTTTAATTTTTTGTGATACATTGTAATACTCCTCAGTGTCACCAAAAGGGATTAGTTGTTCTCGTAGTGTGTTTATTTTTTTATCTAGTGCAGATAACTTTTCATTTTTGACTTTAATGAGACTTTTCATTAATCCAAATGTACAGTACTCTAAATGGTTATACCATTCTTCCATGAATATTTTATTGTCAGTATCTGAGGTGGGCATCTTAAACAGCCTGAGACCTCTAGGGGTTATTTTTTCTTCTATATATTTAGTCAGGGTTGCGATCTCCCACCTTAGTTTCATTTCTTTTGTAAGAGAAAATTCTAATTCTTTTAACAATTCTGGTAAATTATCAAAGACAATTAGTGGTTCATTTGTGTTCATTTCATCTAATTCATTAAAGACATCATTGATATTAATAGTATAATTGTCCCTATATTCAAATAGAGACATCTTTAAACAATCTATAGGGCTGCCTATCTAGGGAATATGTGATGATGAAAAAAGAAAGAGTGGTAGGCGCTCACTATAGCGATCAGGCAGCAGTATACAGAACAGGAATTCCCCAATCCTGTGAGTGAATAATAAAGAAAAAAGAGAAGGCGTATACCGCGCCTAGTAGTATTTTACACAGAAAAATACATACATATATTCTTGTGTACTTCAATCAATTGTAACCTCAGAGAGAATAAAATAAAAAATAATAGTGCAATACAGTAGATAAAGTTATTTAATCTACACAATAATTGCTATGTGCAGTTCACTCACATTTGAATGAGCTATAACAGAGCTCTACTGTAAAGCGCCTGGACGGTACAATCCCCGTCTTAGGATTCGTAGTAGTTGCCACGGATGTTTCTCAAGGTGCAGTGTGCAAAATATGAAAAGAAATAGCAGCAATATAGTGAAGTAAGTACTAATAGTGTATTCAATAATAAAAGGTATTGTACTTACACTTTCTAGAGCATATGACTTGCTCTAGTATAGAACAGCTTAGGTGGTATAATCCCCACCAAGGATATATAGGATCCAGGAAATAAAATAGTATATAAAAAGTAACTTAAAAAGTATACTTTAATATAAAATAAAACAATATAGTATAAAGGAATATAATAAAATGTCCCACTTAACGCGTTTCACCTAAACAGGCTTCTTCAGAAGTGTGGAAAAGAGTCCAAAAAGTCCGTTTTTATATCTTGATTAATGGGGTGATGGTTTCCTGGTGTGTTACTTCCTGGTTCCGGGCTCCGGTTGACACGCACGCAGATCTCTAGTTATTTGTATAGCATGTTCCTCTATGTTTTTTTACGTCTTTTTTTAATGTCTTTTTACATTTTTTATGTCTTCCATGCCTTTTTATACAACTACATCTATGCCCAAAGATTGTACTTATTTTATGTATAAGTCTTAACTTACTGTATATTATTAATATGCTTTTATGTTGATACTTTTTTTCCCAATATTTTTTATATTGGTATTTATCATTTACTTTTGTACTATATACCTTTTATGTGTTATTATAGTACTGTCTTTTTTGTTAACATTACTCACTACTTGTTCTAATTCCTTATTATGTTATTTATGCAAAACTGATATATAACTTATAAAAGTATAGCCCTTTTTGCACTTATATGTGGGTAATATTCCAATCTCTATCTTATTCTATGGCTGCCCACATTAAAGATGGCCGCCAAGCTATCTATATAACACCACATGCCCACACCTCACATCATGAGGCTTCATAATGGGTAGCGCTCGGAACGTCACACACACCACTTATTGGTGATATGTGCGTTCCAATGCGCCAGAATATAACATTGTTATTTTTTCAATTTGATGCTGCAAATATTTCTCCGATCGATGAGAGCGATACGTCATTTCCGGGATGACGCGCGTGTCGCGTCACTTCCGGTATGACGCGTGCGTGTCAACCGGAGCCCGGAACCAGGAAGTAACACACCAGGAAACCATCACCCCATTAATCAAGATATAAAAACGGACTTTTTGGACTCTTTTCCACACTTCTGAAGAAGCCTGTTTAGGTGAAACGCGTTAAGTGGGACATTTTATTATATTCCTTTATACTATATTGTTTTATTTTATATTAAAGTATACTTTTTAAGTTACTTTTTATATACTATTTTATTTCCTGGATCCTATATATCCTTGGTGGGGATTATACCACCTAAGCTGTTCTATACTAGAGCAAGTCATATGCTCTAGAAAGTGTAAGTACAATACCTTTTATTATTGAATACACTATTAGTACTTACTTCACTATATTGCTGCTATTTCTTTTCATATTTTGCACACTGCACCTTGAGAAACATCCGTGGCAACTACTACGAATCCTAAGACGGGGATTGTACCGTCCAGGCGCTTTACAGTAGAGCTCTGTTATAGCTCATTCAAATGTGAGTGAACTGCACATAGCAATTATTGTGTAGATTAAATAACTTTATCTACTGTATTGCACTATTATTTTTTATTTTATTCTCTCTGAGGTTACAATTGATTGAAGTACACAAGAATATATGTATGTATTTTTCTGTGTAAAATACTACTAGGCGCGGTATACGCCTTCTCTTTTTTCTGTGTTGTATTAGTGTATGCAGTGTGTGTGTTGTGTGTTAGTGTATGTAGTGTTAGTGTATGCAGTGTGTATGTAGTGTTAGTGTATGCAGTGTGTGTTGTGTGTTAGTGTATGCAGTGTGTGTTGTGTGTTAGTGTATGTAGTGTGTGTTGGTGTATGCAGTGTGTGTGTTGTGTTAGTGTATGCAGTGTGTGTGTTGTGTTAGTGTATGCAGTGTGTGTGTGTTGTGTTAGTGTATGCAGTGTGTGTGTTGTGTGTGTATGTGTAGTGTAGTGTGTGTGTGTGTAAATGTGTGATCTGGGGGGGGAGGGGGAGGAAGGGGCATTTTAACATTAATTTTTAATTAATTTAATTAAATGTTTCTCCCCCCTCCCTGCTTACCTGTATCCAGGGAGGGGGGAGATTCCATCTGTGGTGGTCCGGTGGGGGCCCCCGGCTCCCTGTTACCGCAGAGGGGGCCCAGGCAGCACAGGGGCAGCTTCTCCTCCTCTCTCT